TGGAGGAACCCACCTCTGTGTATTTACTGGTATGAATCACTGGGGAGTTTGATGAATTTACTATTTAAGATCATCTAGAACAGGTGTCTAGAGCTGTTTGGAGAAGCAGAACCCTGGTGGTCATGAAGAGACTCCCCTCCCATTTTGGACTGCAGGGAGCTGGTGTGCTGATAGACAGATGGCTCCAGCTGCTAGCTTCTGAAACCCAACACCCTGCTGGTGCTCCCAGTCTGCCCACCAGGGATTCAAGGATCTTCTGATGGTTTTCTTAGACCTGCCCTGTAGGGAAGACTTTCCCTCCCCTCTCTCCCTCAGTTGATGCAGCTTTGAAGACCCCTCTGTTTTCTTCTCCATTTGTCCTCACAGATATTGCCCCTCATGCATCGATCATACATTTAATTCTCTCTTAGCTTCCACTTCTCAGAGGACCCAGGCTCACACAAGTACTGTTAGATCTAGTGATTTTAAGACCCTGAAGTTTAGTGTTCAAAACAATGTCTTAGTGGAATTGAGGAGCAAAGCCATGAACTTGAAAGTAGTTATGTTTCTTTATTACAGTTATGGTAACATTTATTCAAATGATAGCAAGTTCTCCCTCAAAGGGCAGTTTCCTGTTTTTCATTTAAAGCAATAAAGCCAGAGTTTGCTGCTCCTCCTGATAGGTGACCAGCCCTAATCCAGAGTTATAAAAGTGTTCGTATTCTCCTTTGATGTATTTGTGAAGTTCATCTGGGCCCAGTGCCCCACCCCACATAGGTTCTACTCATGTATGCTTGGATCATATGTGAGTAGAACCTGTGTGGTGGGAGCCATCAACATTTCAATCTCGGAAGATGTCCTGGGAGCTATCTTTGCCGCTCTATATACCCATGTCTTCCTGCAGGGAGGAACCATGGAGGGACCGTCTACTTCCAACATCCTTCTCCCATCTCTAGGCCAGCCCGGAAGTGTAGTTTTGTACTATCCGAGAGGCAGGGAAGTTGAGTTAGCCCGATGCTGAGATTTGAATCCAATATCCAAAGACTAAATGAAGGTTTATTTATTATTGTTTCCCGCTCCAGGGCCCCTCAGAGGCTACTCAGACACCAAGAAAAAAAAAAATCTTTTTTTTTTTTTTTAATGTTGACGTTGTGTCCCTCACTCCCCCCGTCGCCATTCTTTGACCTTGGTGAGGATAGGGGAAGGGTTTATGGCCCATGTTCAGGTTCTTGGTTGCTGTTGAAAGCACAGACCCCTCACTGATGATAGATCAGGCATTGGTAGAGCCTGTGGTATACACTCACAACTTGAGCCCTGGATTGTGGGTTGACTTTAGGAAGAGGGTCATCACTCCGCATCTGTGGTGAATCTTGACTCATTTTCTCCATGCTCTGGGCCCCTTCGTCTGATATGTTGGTTTTCTAGTGTAAGTTGCATAGTGGTTACGAATCGGGCTGTGAACCGCAAGGTTAGCAGTTCGAAACTACCAGCTGCTCCGCGGGAGAAAGATGAGGCTTTCTACTCCCGTAAA